GATATTCGTAACGGTCCCGAGGACGAAAGGGAAACGTAAACGTTAAACGGCAGGACAAAGAAGAGATTAGAGCTTAGTAGTTTTTGAACCAAATATTTAAAGCTTTCAAAATACTTATTCTTACTTTCGGAATTTTTAATGACATAAATCATTTTTTACCACCAGATGAAATTCAAGCGCGGAAATAATACTTGCAGTGAGCTGTCATTGAAGTTTCTGAGGAACGCGACTGAAAACAGGACTTCTTACGGCTAATAAAATTACGCGCTTTACAACATAGATATAGCTAATTGTTGGAAAAATGAGGTGACACGTAACATAATTTATTTCCTCAAAAATCGCGGGGTCCTTTTCCACAAGAACTCCCTAGAGTTCTGAATAGAAACTTTCATAAAGACAGGTGTGCAGAAAAAATTGCTCTTACTCCTGCCGACCAGAATCCTGATCCAAAAAGCGATGTTATCGCTGCTTTTTTACGAATGGAGAAGCAATTCTGGATAATTACACAATTGAATTGCGTGACAGTGGTCATGGTGTATTTCAGTGTGTGCTGTTGTCGCCGGTTACACTGAATAGAATCCTGTAGTTTGGTTTTGAAATGTTCATACAGGTTTGAATAGCGTAAGCTATCAGAACTCAAATATGAAATAACAGAAGCCAAATTTTTAAAAAAGAGTTTGCGAGCGCTTATCAAATGATGAAATTCGATACGTTGTTGTTGACGTCTTTCGTCGCGAGATAATAAAATTTGTCAAATTTTGGCCTTTTAAAATGTTTAAAGTATTAATCGGTGTGATTTTAAAGCTCTGCCCTACTATATTATCTACTTAAAATGGTTAAAATCTAAGATTTATTGAGCTACTCATATAAAACGGTCGGAGTTTTCTCGATGAACTAATTTGCATAATCGGCTGTCACGCTAGCAATACCACTAAAAGTTTGAAGTCACCTCTGCGAAGAAAATCAATAATTGCAAGATGTTTTTATATTTTTCTGCAGCCAAACATCTTATTAGCAGAAATCAAGCGGAGGTTTTAATGGTCTGGTCTGGACTTGAGCAATATCAACCAAGAAAGAAAGAGGACTTTTGACCAATTTCAGAAAGCTGTCCAACGAGTGTTTTTAAATAAATTATGACGAGCCTCTGAATAAACGAATATCAAAATTATACACCTTATATATCTCACAGTTTAAGAATACAAAATATTTTTTGCTGCATGCGGTGTGATACGAGGACCGGGCTATTCAACTTTTAAAATTTTCGATGTCGCAAGAGGTCAAAAAAGGGCCTTTTGAAGCTTTGACTTTTGAGAGCTCTAAAAGTTTTACTTTAACGTATTTCCAGACAATAATGTGGTTTAATTTATTTGTTACCAAAGATAGTTTATTGGGCAAAGTTTGAGTGAAAACTTTTTTCCGATGCGAAATGCCCTGGACCGCTCTTACAGGGATCGCCACTTAAATCATTTTTAACACCGTGAAAGACGCTCATGGTATTGGGAAGTATCTTGAAAGTCAACTTTACGTTTACGAAAGATATAGTTATGATCAGGACCTAAAAGGTCAAGGCCGATAGAAAAAATTGGTAGTTCTTCGCTGGTTTCTTCCATATTTCTAAGAGAAGGAAAACTGCACTGCAGCTTAACAGGACGGAAACTCTGAATCCAGGTCAAAAAAATGCTCACGTCATCTTATTTACGCACCGGCGTGCGTAAATAAAAATTTTGTTCATAGCGGCTCAATAGGACTTATACAGGGCAAGCACGCGCGCTATGTTATAATAATGTTTCCTTTTGCTACAGAGTCTATTGTCACATACCTCAACTATAACAATGGCTGAGTTGCTTGTTAAAAAAGATAATGTTTTCTTTTCTTTTCCACTGAATGTATTTGATGTTTGTTATGTTGTTGATGAAAAAATAAAAACCATTTTCCCTTTGAAATGAACTGGATGTAAATTGTCTGTTTATTCCTTCATAATGTACCATTTTGTCACAAAGAAACGCAACGGTTCAATCATGAGATTGACTGTACTTTAAAATTTAAAGTGTGAAAGTTCTAACCAAGAGAAGCAGCAATTTTAAAAATTCAAAAAGTTATAAACTTGAACTGTGGTACTAGTTAAATGGAGTACAGACATTGATCATCCCTCACATAGATGATCATGGATAAAGTCAGGAAATATACAAGAAATATCAACATTAATGTCCA